GTGTACAGGTTTCTTGTGATCGAGCTAAAATGAAGAAAAGGCATGAATTCGATTAGATTGGAGATCGTTTCTCCGAGTGCATATAGTTTAGCTTACCTTCACAGCCATAGACAGCAACTCTCATACACGGAAAGACGTCATATGCCAATGGGACAAAGCGTACAACCGCTGCATTGACTTCAAGAGATACGTSATCCTGAGAAATCTAATTAAAGAGAGCAATTCTTTTATAAATTGATGAAAAGACCAACCAAACCAACTAAAGTAACCAAAACATATGCAATCAACAGTCTATGCTATCACAATTTACAGAACCAGCCATCAACTATCCAACAAACCCGGCCAACCAGTATGCAAATCAACTAAACAATCAAGTAGTCAATGCACCAACGCATCAACGGACCAACGCCCCAACGGATCAACGGACCAACGCAGCAACGCACCATCCAAACAACCCACCTACACACCTAAATACCAACTAACCCACCAGGTTTACAAACCTGCTTTAGATCGTAGAACGTATTTCCATCGTTGCTTATTTGAAGTAAATACTTGGTAACTGTCCTGGCAGTACTGTTAACCACCACATTGGCTTCTCCTTTTATCTTTATTCTTGTTATTAACTTAAGAGAAGAAAAGTTTGCCTCGAGGTACTCTCTGTCAGTAAAATTACTTTTCGGACACCAGGCAGAGTTGGAGGTCAACTGAGCATGCTTCGCAGAAAATTTTACAGAAAGTGCCGATGATGACGTCAAAGTAATGCCATTTAGTAGAGGATTATCGCAATCTAATTACCACACAAAGAAATGCATACTATGTAAGGTTAATAATTAATACATTTAKTTTTAAAAACAGCTTTAATCTWAAAACAATGGTTATTCAGACGCTTAGAGCAAAACGATGTCTACCTCAGTGAATGAAGCAAGGTTTTCGCSCGCGAATTTTAACCGAGACGTCTGTATCACCATAGTTTTTTRAATAAGGCTAATGTCAGAAATACATGTTTTTAATAGTCTCCTTCACGGTTACCTGCGCCATCTTGAAAGGTAGCCGTGCCTTTGCATCGAAGCAAGACGACCGTTGAGCGTGCAATGATAGAAACCTTCTTTCACACCTACAGACAATTCTTCACAGGTTTCTATCATTGCACACTCAACGGTTGTCTCGCTTCGATGCAAAGGCACGGCTACCTTTCAAGATGGCGCAGGTAACCGTGAAGGAGACTATTATCATGGAWCCTCCTAGCTGCAAATTTAATATGCTATGCAAGATTATTTATATGCTTTTTTTCTCTGCTATGATTTTTTTTCTATGCTAACACCATATTTATCATCATCATGAGCGTCGTCATGGTAGCAGTTCTTCTCCCACCATAAGGCTCAGGAGGTTTCCACGGAAGTCATTAGATTTTAATACTTTTGAATTAAAACTGAGGTGAGATGAAGGAAAGATGAAATTCAGCAAYTGTTTTATTATTGTCACTTGAGGTCAAATTTCAGATCTTCATAAAAGATGAAATATAATGAAATAATAACTATTCATTGCGATGACATTATCACGTGTTTGAAACAAATTTTAACATGAAGAGCACTATAAAAAGTTAATGATAACATAGTTAAAAAGAAAATACCGTTTACTGATAACTTGGAACAACACTTTCTCATACTCATTAATTATTCATGAGGTATCCAGCCAATCCCTGATTGTAATTTGTACCACGTGAAGTAACTTGAAACCAGAGGAAGTACTCGTAACTTTGTATTCTACCTTATTTCCAGTTACTTCTACCTTTTTCAAGTTACTTCTACATTATTTCCAGTTATTTCTACCTTATTTCCAGTTACTTCTACCATGTTTCCAACTACTACTAGCTAATGATAACCAAATTATTAGAAATAATCAGTTTGACATTAAATCTTTGATACATGACTTCCTCACGACTCGATCCCCTACCGTCAAGCCTATATGCGCCGTGTTATATATCACTACACTACCGAGTTTCTGATGCGATTCCTCGGAAGATTACATACTTATAAATCGTATGAATTAGGCTCATTAGGAATGCCATGAATAGCAGACAAAGACAATTTGAATAGCTTTTGTTTCAGAAAGCCGTCCGGGAATTGAAGAACAACAAACGGTGCTTCATGCATTAAAAATTATGAAAACTGAAAACTTTAGTGGAGATGCAATAAATCAATATATTTCTGTTATGTGCGCATGTATTTCCTTCGCTTTTTTCCCCTCCCGAATAATTAATGAGTATGAGAAGTCGTTCAAAGTCCTCCAATTCGGACTGGACGGGATTTCAAGTCCTTGCAATTAGTTCCAGTCCTCGGCTAACGCCTCGGACTGTAACTAATTGCGCGGACTTGAAATCCCGTCCAGTCCTCATTGTCGGACTTTAAACATTACTTAATAACCTATATCATCATGCCGTAAACATATCCTTTTCACARAAARTCATCGTTATAATTTGTTTTCCCCMAAAAGAAATCTRTGTGTCATTGACATGTTTACCAATGAATTGCTTAAGTAATTTCTTAACATAKTGATCAGCATTACTTTGATTGTGAAACATGGGCTACTTTAAAATACTTAATAAGCAAAGAGATTAATAAATTTGCATAGATTGTTAAAYCARTGTACCTTTRATTGCCAAGGCGGTCCGCTCTAAAACGACAAAGAGCACAAAAAACGTTAAAGGCAACATTTTAAGCTCAAGTTTTGCCGGAAATCTTTWTCTTGTGGGCTAGCACTGAAATAGAGAGAATGATTGAATTATTAAAAACAGCAGCTGAAATGCTGCACGGTTTGATTAGATCCTATTAATGAGATCTGTGTAATTTCAGCTTTAGCAAGTGAATAAACAATGATACACTAAGTCAGGCAAAAATCACTGTTGAAATATTCAACAAAATGAAATTATTTATCTACCAAAATAGGATTTTCATGTGCACCTATTATTGCAAAAATGTTGTCACTAAGAAATAGAACACTCGAATTTTAGTAATGCGGAATAAAACTAAAAGAAAAAGAAGGTAACTCATGCCGAATGCTTTTCTTTTGTTTAGTGTATTCCTTTTTATTAAAGAACAAATCTAATATAGGGGATATTACATGGGCGCGCGGAGATACGGATTTTATCTTCGATTGTCAGTTATGAAATGGAGAATAAAGATAATTATATGATATATAKTTTTCCATGGAAATATTTTTGCAACTAAGTGTGTATAGAGAATATGCCTATCGAATAATCACGGTTAGTGAATTATATCTTTTTGAGTTTTTCAATTCTTTCTATGACTGTTTATTTTTCCATGCCTCTAAGGATAAATTTAATTATTTGTGTTCAGTATATTGTTGTTGGTATAAACCAACTTATACTAAACTACTCTGACATTTTGCAGCTATTGTAATAAATTAATGACTAAGTTCATTAACTATGYATTTTGTTTACTTTAATTTTTAAACAAAAATAAACCATTCCATAAAAACTCAGTTCAAAAGGGTGTAATTGTCCTAATTCCTCTATTAAGTTAACATATAAGAAATATCTGTCTTGAAAAAAACACTTTTTTATGTTGTGAATACTTCKCAAAGCTGCCATAGTTGCTGGGTAACAACGTGGTAATGCCTGTTTGGAGACATGGAATATTCATGCCAAAAAACAGTTTCACATTTCTTGTTTCAGAGAGAGAAAAATACTTAATGTGGATAAAACGGGGAAAATATGGTAAGATTTGACCCGGGAATTACTTTCTCACGATTTTGCCTGAAGATCCTCTGCTCAACCCCCTCCCCCAGAGGAGATTTTCTTGACTCAGCCGATCCTGCTGAACAAACAATTCATTGCCGCTGCTCTGTAAGTCACTGACAAGTCGTCAAGATATCRCTGTTAACTATATTTTAATGCTAATACTGTTGTAATCTTTGTTGACACATTCTTTTTGAACAGATCAGCTCACCTWAGAGTAGGTTTACTTTAAAAGGTTCTTTCTAGTATCTCCAGTGAGAGTCTATAAAATGGTTTGGGTACCTTTGTTATTAATCTTGGCGCCATTGACCTACGGTTTAGGTAAGTATTAGATATTATATAAGTATATTTTATTGTCGACCACTTTTTTGCTAATTAGTGATCCTGATAACGAGAGAGTCCCTCCCTTTATTTTAAATTGGTACGTGTCTAAAGAAAATTGAATGTATACGCTTGAATTTAATCGTCTTGTTATTGCTAACTTTGTTGCAAGTATTTCTTMAGTAGATTTATTAGTTACATTTTAAGTAACTATAGTTATAGGAAATAAAAAAAAATTGTGCTCATTATTAGGTTATCAAAGACAGATCGAACAGGGTATTTGGGCGAACAACGTTTGGATTTAATCTTGTTACTCTCAATTTTGATAAATCAAATATTAGTGAATAGATAGACCTATCATATGAGAAATCATGTTAAAAAAACTGTTAAAAGCTTTATATGTGTATCGAAAAAAAATCCCGCTGGATTGAAAAGAAAATCTGCGGGAATTCTTAAGGGTAGACCACTTGTTTTATCGTTCATATTGAAGAGCTTTAGAATATTTTATATACTTTAAGAACTATACAATTAATAAATTATTATTATTATTACTGTATTTCTCTTTTAAATATCAACTGAGTAAAATATTAACCACATGCTTTCATTTTTTGAAGTTATCTATGATAAGAAAAATATACTACATATTTCATTTTTTAAATTTAAGTTTCCTTTGTGTTAATTTAGTATGTGATAAACCAGTTGGCTTTGAAGACAGACGAATTCCTGACCAAAGCCTCACAGCTTCGTCGAGGTATAGTAGGTATGAGTAGAGTAGATAGGGACGGGCCATCAGATTTCTGATAGGGGTAGGGTAGGGGAGGAMGTTGCGCAATGTTGTTCGTGCAGGAATGTTTATTTTGCTTGTTGTTTGTGACAATGTACGAATTTTCTCATGCACGATCGAATGTTTTCGAGGGGATTATTGCTTTGCACATCATTGACCCCAAGCCCCCATCAGATATTTAGTGGTCCTTCCCTTAAACATATTATTTTGTGTAATACTCAGGAATATTACACATGAATTTATATTTAATGCAATGATACTAYTTTATAATATACGATTCACTTTCAATTTCTTTTAAATCGAAACATATTAGTACTTATCCTTAAAATGGAATGACTAAGCCTGGAGTCGCTATAAAATCATCCTAAAAAATATGAAGGATTGTCCCACACGCTAGGAATTTATAATTTATACTTTATATCGCCTTGTTTTCGTGCTAGACAAGCCAATTCTAGTTGCAATCATTCAACATTGCTGCTGTTGTGGTTTTCCACTAATCAAACTTGAGTAGAAATAATTCTATGCACCAATTATGTGAGGATTTTTTTGTTTCTCATTTCTCCGCCTTGAGCCAAGTACATGACAATAAAYGCTGTCTCGCAGACGAACATAGCGACAGTTTCGGTTCACGCAGCTTTTCTTTTACAAACAGTCACTTTCTTTTTCCATTTATCACAACAAACTCTTATGCAAAAGGCGTTTTTTTTTAGATTCCAGGCTGCTAAGGAGGGTCGTCTGAACAATGTTAACTCGGCTTCTGGTATAGGTGCGTGGTGCGCAAAGAAAGATGACGATAAGAAATACATTCAGGTGAAGAATYCTTAATCAATAACATATCAGCCCCAAATTTTTATCAATTTTCAAACGCACTTTGAGATTGGTAACAAGCAAGGTTGGTAACTCGCATACAAATTTGTAACAATTTCTAACTACCAYGTAAAAGACACTACTGAGTACAAGTACTCTTTCCTTACAAAAAAAATAAGAATCTATTTAATTACCTAATAGCACGTATTCTACTAATAAGACCTTGATATGGAAAGATACAGTTTATGGAGATTTGAAAATCCTTTCATAAATACCAAGCGTTTAATTTGCTAACATTTTATGCCATCTATATGTAAATTTTAGCAGATGTAAATAAAATATAAAGTATAAGTCTATTAAGTCTAGCTACTTGTCATTGCTAGTAATAACTATCAAAACATTGCTTTTGACTAATAAATGCTGAAATACTGTCAATGCACTAGATCTATAAAACAAATATTAGTAATTACAACTAAATAGTCTATTTTTCATTAGTTTCGAGTTAAAAAAGTCCGATAGATATTACACTAATACAGCTTAGTACGCTTTAATTGCAGTTTTTTCTTTTTTATCTTGACTATACATCACACTTTATAGTCAAATTCTGTTTCGCGTGTTAAATGACTTCACTCTAATCTGTGAAGTAAGCGCACTGCACTTTAATATTAATTTTCTTTAATATATTTTTCACGTTTTTCAGTGTACCATCCCATAGCTCACTTTGTTTCACAGTGAATAGCAAACAAAGAGTAAATATTTTATAAAAAATGTAATATTTTATACTATTTTGTCTCACGGAATAAGTGCGCTCACTCGATCTACCGATTCACTTCCGGTAAGTTAAAATAGATGGAAGCAAACTTAAAAGAATGAATAAATAATATCGATGATGATTCTTGGATAGTAATGATGRTGATTTTTTCCCTAGGTTGATTTAGGTAGCGAACGTAATCTTGGCTATGTGCTTATCCAGGGACGTAACACAACGTACAGCCAGTACGCCAGCGAGATCAGGGTTTCTATCAGTAAAGGAGGAGTGATCTTTACTCCTATAAAAGACCCCTTAAAAGTCTCAACTCCAAAGGTATCTATTCCAATAGTTGTCACAAAAAATTCCCTACAAAATACTCGTTCCTCATCTTTTTTCCTCTGGCTTGCAAAATATTCAGCTTTTGCAGTTGCTGGCATTTTGATGAATAAAATTTGTAGCTGCCTGGCAAAACTTAGGACAAAATTCGTAGCTCCCTGCAAAAACCTATACAAAGAGTCACGTTGTCACGTTTGGAATACCAAAGTATATATGGAAAGTAACGGTCTGGCAAAAATAATTTATTTTATCAGGCTSTGGCTAGCAAAAACAGACTGAATTTCGGCGAAATSCTCACGATCAATCTACCAGTTTTCCTTGCTAGCTGTCAAGACATCCCATTTTGGTTTAACATGTACTGTCCTGAAAAAAAAGATCTACCCAAATCAATCCCTGGCCGGTAATTTGGGCACACCTTCATGCCTGGCAAACCGCCTTATCCATGAATTTTTTTTAATCTTATATTCATATTACCCTTGGCTATAACTTAAAACTATACGCTTAGTTTTTGGATCTGGTATAAAATTGAAATTGAAATTAGAAAAAAAAATTGTCARRTCCCCAAGCATTATAAAAACAGTGCTATATTTCCAYTTCCTACAATGCATATGAATATACATTCAATGAGGCATGGRCAGCTGTCTGTGGATGGTACTACCACACATATGATTAACAATTAACTGTTGCTTTAGTTATTCAAGGCGAATACCGACAATAATGGGATAGTCAAGATTGATATAAAACCAGATCCCTCAGTTGGAATTACAGCACGATATGTTCGTGTCTACATCACCAAGTATTACTCTAATCCATGTCTGAGGCTTGAGCTTCTTGAATGTCGAGGTATTTCAAAATATATAATCTACAAATACTAAATAATATAACAATAATGCAGTGCATATCAAGCAATTCCTTCGGAAAAAAAWTCATTTTCTTTTGCCAAACTTTTGCTGACCATATATGGTAATCTTACCTTGTAAGGAAGTACRTTAGAAAGTTTTATCACCTTTTAGTGCTTTTAAATGGCTAAAACTTACAGAATTTGCAGAGAAATTGCTTTTCGACGTGTTGGCTATTGTAAATTTAACCTAGTCCCCTCCAATCCTTGAAAATAAGGGATCCCACAATAAACACAGGTAGACCACGAATGTTAGACAATTGTTTGATATGATTGCTGTCTAGACAAGGTAAAAATATATTCTTTATTCAAATATATTCATTATTTGATATGGACAAATGTTGTGTTGTTAGCCACTGAGGCTAGAYGGCAATGCAAGCTGTGATATACAACTTTGCATTAATTGACGTCACTATTCTGACGTCACCATTCTGACGTCACTATTCTGGTGTTCTTTCGTTTATTAATGAGACAAAAAGCAAAAGCGATAATTCTATACGAGCAGAAGACGAATACCGAAAAGAAATGCAACAGTTTTAGGGCAATGGATGAATCAAACCTATGTATAATTTGTCCACGTCTTAGAGTCAAACAAAAACTACATATATATTCTTTACGTACTAGCTCTCACTGCACCTCCTGCTACAACTCCTGCTCCAACAACGTCTGCTCCAACAACGTCTGCCGCAACGACAACATCAGCACCTGGTAAGTGGTACTTTTGAGAAATATTTATGTGTTTGTGTTTTTAATGTTTTTTTTTTGTGTGTGTGCACACTTCAAACATGTGATGAAGTGTGCAGGGATGGGAGTGCATGTAAACAGGCTAGCCTGATCAGTGATGGCGGTGTGCTCAATAAATTCACGTTGTATTATTGTGATGATGTTCAAGCGTTGTGTTGGTTTGCTTTCTTTATTCTATACTATAACCGCAAAGCTGCCAAAGTTACCTGTATCGAGTTAAACATTTCCCTTTAATCGCCACTTATCAAACAACTGCTTCAGAGAAAAAATCATTCGTTTACAAAACTTTTGCTGACCATATATGGTAATCTTACCTTATAAGGAAGTACGTTAGAAAGTTTTTTCAAGTTTTTTCCACCTTTTCGTGCTTTAAAATGGCTAAAACGTACAGATTTTGCAGAGAAATTATAATTTTGTCCTAGTCTCCTCCCATCCTTGAAAATAAGRAATCCCACAAAAGACACAGGTAGCCCGCGCTAATGTTAGACAATTGTTTGATTTATATTGATTTATATTGCTTAGGCTGTCAAAGTGGATATGAGCTGGACAAAGACAACAAGACCTGCGTAGGTAAACAACAAATCAAYCAAGAGACAACAAACAAGAGCAGCAGCAACAATTATAATAACTGCAACATACAAATAAAAACAAACAAAAGATAAACAAACAAATAAATAAAAGGTAGAATGAATGTATCGTAATTTTGTCCTTGTTTTTATAGACATCAATGAATGCAACACTGGTACTGCAAAATGTGACTCGTACAGTACGAGATGCTCCAACAATGACGGGTCATACGAATGCGTGTGCAAAACTGGCTTTAAGAAGACTGTATCTATTTATAGATGCGAAGGTAAGCGGTATTTTCATGTTATCTTATTTATATCATCTATTTCTAATATACCTTATCTAATTTGTGAAATAAAATTTACATTTATATGATCTGTATAATTCAGACCTAGACAGAAATTGTAGACAAAACATGTATCTGCACCCTSCCCCMWTYMAAAWTT